GAAAATTTTGTAAATCAAATGAGATATTTGTCAAAAGAGGAGCACATTGAAAGCGCATTTTTTAAGCTATGCATTTGGTCTGTTATAGGCACTTGTACAGCCCAATACACGTGTTTAGGCCTTGGCAGCTCGTCAGTTTGACAGGCCCATCGTCTTTAGCTAATCCTCCTGGTGGAAACCCCATCACCTATCTAAAGTAGACGCAGATTTACTACTCACACTTGCTATTAAGTGAAAATATCACTGAATGAACAGTGTTGTACACTCAGTTGCTCTTGTCTAGTATCATCAAATATGTCATGCCTTTCGTTTCGAATGTTTCCTTGAGACCACGCTCAAATTTCAATATGCCTGATAACTTCTTTTTTTGCAATGTGCAAATAGTACAATCTACCCCATGATGTAGAGTGGTGTGCAAAAACATTTGCGTCACTTGAGAATCGAATCCATATTTCACCCTATCAAGGGTGGCATGCTTAATCGATGCAATACCGATACCCGTTTTGACATCACTTTTTCTAGGCCATGACACGTTACCTCTCAACGACCAGTTGTCAATTGTCTGGTGTCAAAATGGGCGTCGATAGTGCAACGGTTCATCACACGCTCTAGGATAGGATGCAATGTCGGTTCGAATCCCAAGTAGCGCAAAATTTTTGCGAACCATTCTACATCATTGAGAATATTGTTACATCATACCAGCGCAAGAGGCGGCCAAATGAAATGAATTCTGATTGTAAATAGTAGGTCTGCGCCTACTCTATGTAGAAGGGTTGCGTTTCCTTCGAGAGGTGTTAAAGATGAAGGGCTTGCTCAATTAACCGCATCTTTGGTTCAAAAAATTTGATCAGACATACTAAAATTTGAGCATGGTTTCTAGAAAACACTCAAAAAGCGGTATGCTTGATAATTATATTTGAGCCGTACGTGAAATCTTTTATGGGCGCTTATTTAGTGCAATACACGTGTTTCGGTCTTGCACCCTCGTTGGTTGCACGGTGCCTTCTGTCTGAGCCAATCTTTCTGGTGGGAGTACCAGTTACGCTGAGGAATTGCAGACGTATTTTACACACGCCGTCAAGTGATAAGAATCACCAAACGGACAGCTGTGTACACTCAATTGTTCTTGGCTAATAATCGTGAGCTATCATTCCATTCGTTCCGAGTGCTTTCTGAATACAATAAAACTGATGAGGCTGCAAGACCGAAACACGTATATTGCACTGTATAGATGCCCATAACAGACCACATGCATGACGAATATTGAAATTTTAGCGTGGTCTTATGAAAACACTCGAAACGATTCCTATGATGAAATTTCACGAATACCCGCTAAGAGCAATACGGCCCGTGTAAATTTTACACCTGCGATTTCTCTAGGTGAGGAGAACGTTCTCCTCTAAGAGGGATTGGCGCAGAGCTTGAAATCAACAGGGCTGTAAGTGTTAAAAAAAGTGTTTGATGCGCGAATCAAACTTTATGTATCAAGCTTTTCTGCTAAGCTTTTAAGTGTCTAAGTGAGTGGAATGTATCAATTTAGCTCTTCTAGGCGTTAATAAAAAAGCTAAACTTCCAAAACGCTACTCAGTAATGCATCAAATAAGCCTTATCATAAACATTATCGCATGCGCTCATTGACAAAATAACGAATCATTAGCAATGTCGAAGTTACTAGATGGTCCAAGGAAATGTTCTTTAGAAATTCAATAGATCTCTTCATCTTTTTTTTGGGTTGAGCAGATATTAGATGTATAAATGCGACTCCACCGTTTTTTACGATTTAAACTTTCAAATAATACAAAAAATTTGGTACAAATCGATTGATTAGACGCTGAAAAATTTTTCAACCGATCATATTTGCTGAACAGGAATCTTTCATAAAACCTTTAGTGATCATTCGAAAGCTTGAATCTCTGACTGGAGTTCTATGTGGTCATTTTCAAAACACTCTATAGCGCTGTAGAATGTGAGATAAAATTTTATTTTACACGGCCAACCACATGCTTTTTTTCCGCTTGTATTTCGCTGGACAAAACTTCTTCCTTAGAGTGCTGATACTCATCTTATAGCATAAACTTCGGAGAACTCAATAATTTGTTTGCTTTCTGGAAAAGCTCTCTGAATCTTTGATCTCTTTTGGCCTTTTGATTTGTGCATTAAATCTCTCACAAGACAGAGCTCTTTCTCTAGACTCACAGTAATCCTCCGATAGCGTTACGTTTCCCTGTTCGAACGGTGCGCTCGTATTCTGAAAATACGGTATGGTAGAAAAAATGAGGTCGAGTTTTACATTTTCGGCAGGTTGTTTACTGGTTATTCGACAGGCGACGACCGTGGTAGGGGGCGTGGCAAGAGACGGGCGAGGTGGGACGATAGATATATTGTTATTCAATTGGGAATTTTTCCTCCATTTCGCAAGAAACTCCACATAAAACAGTTGATTAAGATACTGCGAAAGGTCCTCTACGTAATGGTATGATTTTCGGCTCCCAGCGAAATATGACGCGTCGTAAAAATGAAGACGAAAGGCAAGAGTATAACAAAACTTTATTCTGGATGCTGCAGCGTTTTGAAAGGATGTTTTGATGAACCGGCGAAGCAGAATGGTAGCCAGAGATTTAAGCTCCTGAATAATTAGTAAAAGTTCTATGAAAAATTTTTGCCCAGCGAATGAAATCGGCTTGAAAATTTGTCGTCGTCTAACAGAATTGTACCAAAAATTCTTTACTTAAGTCTATTTGAACACATTTCCTATCATTGACAATAACATTTTCCCAATTTCTGAGCAATTTATGAACGCTTTCATAGAAAAATTCTTGTTCTGAAACCATCCAATTATCGGGCCATTTATTGATATAATCAAATTCGGTGAAGTGCTTTAGAGAAAGATCGTGTGCCAATGATCGAAACCATTGGTAATTTTACGACGCATTGCTGGGAGAGTAAGGCAAATGGGGTAAATTTCCCAACACAGCTCTTTCACTACGTCTTCGATCGACTTTGCAACATGAGGCCGAGCAATTCGCAGCACAAATCACTTTGTCATGACTTGAGGTCCATTCCGGTCGTTTTATCTGCAATTCATAGTTTAATTTCGTTAAATTTTGTTGACAAAGTGCTAACTTAACCGTCGTTTCACTCAAGAACTCGTAGTAGAGAGCGTCTTTCCAGTCCCACAAAATGCACAACAAAACATTCTTTCCGTGAATCGTTTTCGTTCTGAAGCCGATTTTGCTAGTTGTACGGGGTCGGTCCATGATCGTTTGCGCTTTGGACTGTCAAAACAAAATCTACTTTTCGTCTCCGGTTAATGCGACGCAAAAGAGTCCTTCTCCCTTGTTCTTTTGACAAAAATTTGCATTTTATTTATCGCTTTTCCATATGCCAATGCGTTGCTTAATATGTAATCCGTAATACGTCTTTTTTTAATCTTTCTCGCTTGATATAAACGATGTGACACTGTCTGCTGCGTCACGTTAAGCTTATCTGCTAACTTTAGCTTATCGGCCAACTGTTCGTGCGTTTGGGAATCATCATCGTCCAATAATGTTTGTAATTCTTCGTCTCCAAATTTTTGGGCAATTATGCATCTTCTTTGTTTTCGACATCAAAATCACTGGTTTCCAAGTCTGAAACAATTTATGGCAAGTTCCTTTAGACGAAGCATGATTTCCATAAGCTTTTACAGCATTTGATGTGTGTCGGCGGCGGTTTTCTCTAAATTAAACATGAAAAATAAAGCATCCCGCTAATGGCGTTTTTCGGGTGCAAAAGCCGTCATCTCCAAAGCCTATAAAAACCATCATATAAAATATTTTCTGTATAAGAAAATTATAAATAAGAAGCGTTTTTAACGCGCGTTCGAACAAAAAGCAGGATTTGCATGTCTTTATTTCTACTAATATTACAGCAAAAAATAATTAAACGGCGGAGAAGAAAAATATCTTACACTACGGAGCCATCCGAACGTTTTCAAAAGAAACAGGAATGTCGAAGGCCCCATCAGTTACGCATTGCTGGGAGATACGATCCGCTGACGATAGAGGATCATTTTGGTTATTCATCAAAATTGCGGAATAATCACATTTCGGCGATTTATCACATTTATGCTGAGCAGTATTCAAGAGCCTTTCCTCATTTAAATATCAAATAGTATGCGTAATGATCTTAATTCATCCAGACAATGCCTTCATGATTGATTATGTTTTCCTTTTTGACGAACGAGTTTGAGTTAAATTAATGTTCGATGGAAAATCACTGGACAGTTTCATTAGAGAAGATGGTCTGCTTCGTTATCTCGTCAAGCATCAAGCGCAGTCCCAGTTCTCAATATTGTGAAATTTTCACATTCCATTGATCCACACCTTCTGAGTGGAACCTTTCGGAGCCCGATCAGGAGTCTTATTACTATACCATTTTCCTCTCGAATCGTTACCTGATTTCTATAGCTTTTAGCATGTAGGGCGTGGAATGGTTTTACTGGTTGCGAAAAGAGGCGGATTGTGAGCTTTCTTTTCAAGATTATGACAACGTTCACACTAAATTCCGCCTCTAGCTGAACGTCTGTGGAAGATATTGGTCCATTTTTGTTCGAATTCTGCAATATTTGTGATAAACTGTAGCGTACTTTGCAGAATCTGAAATTCAAACAGAGAATGACGGTGGGCTGGTCAACAAGAAAGTAAGCTTCGTTAAAGGACACTTCCAATTCTCATAGTAACATTGGGTTGATAAAACCATTGAATAAATATATTAGTGACGAAAGTGCAAGATGATACTCCTGTTATGTGCTAAATCTCAGAGTTTAGGCTACCTCTGAAATTGTGACAATCAAAATTGGACAATCAATCGAAATTTGAATTGATCGTCTTTGCGGTGGTCTGCCATTACAATATACCCAGTGATGTAGAGTGGTGTGCAATATATAATATATCAGACCGTTGACGGTTGGGTGCTAACAGATAGCGCGTTGTAGCGTAGAAAGAGTGGTGTCAAAACGGGCGTCGGTAGTGCAACGGTTCAGCACGCGCTCTCGGATACAGTGAAATGTGCGTTCGAATCCCAGCTGACGCAAACGCTCTTGCACATGACTCTGCATCATTGGGTACAAACCTGGACATTCAAAGGCAACATATTACATCGAGAAGAAACGCGTGAAGAGTGGGTAATGCGGCTAAAAGACACGTTTATGCAGTCTGCTAAGAGCTGAGAATTAACACCATGGACTAACTACAAAGCGAGAAGATTTAAGTATTGGTGTTTAAAAGCATGATAAAGTTCTTGGGAGTTTCCAGAAAACATTTTTAAAAAATGATCTGCTGATCAACTTGCAAATATCTGATTAGATTCGGCACAGTGCTAGCGCAGAAAAGAAGTTTCCAACAAAATGATTTTGCTTCTGATGAAGTCTATCGTATTTCCTTTCAGGATTTTGTCGAACAAAACTGGCATAGATCTCAACGTGAGCTCAACACAGAGGTGAGCCAGATTTCCTTTTCTCACATCCTGTAAAGTTGTAGCGTTGTCATTTCCCCTTTCCACAAATCACTGAGACGTGATTTTTGAAATATAACATGATAGTGGAAAAGTCTCGTAATGGCGATGTAAAGAAAAATTTAAACGATGCTACAGAAGTTGCCGAGAGATTTTGTGGTGTCGCCTCTTTCTCTTCAGTTTTTTCATAAGTATGTTCTATGAGTGAAATTCCAATTTTAGCTGCCTCGTCAGTTTTATAAATGAAGTATGAGTGTGGTTGAGAATATGTGTTACATTTAATGTACAGAATACGATGATATTCAGCATCAGCTAAACAATCAACCTCGTCGTACTGGATTCATCTTCAAAAGAAATTATTGACCATTGCATTGAACTCAGTTTTTTTTTGCTTTTCTGAAAATTCGCCCAGATAAATATATTAGCATCTGCTTAAGTGGCTAGTGCTGCTTAATGGTCAGAGGCGGCTTGTAATAGTTACATCTTCGTTGGTTCGATCCCGCGCACAAACTCATCAAACTATCCCTTTCTTTGGAGTAGGAAAATAGCTAACACATTTTTATGGAAACACTAATTTTATTTTATTTTTTTAATGTATTCAATCAAATGTGCGAATGATGTAGGATGTATGAAGTATCCTTCAAAGATTAATTCACTCTATCTGCTTCATCCTTTTGACCTTTGGTATTTATCAGCAGTTTCAAAGCCTTTTAATTGAGTTTTATTATTTTCAAATAACTATAGGAAAATTGACAGCAACCACTAAACACAAAGTGCAGGATAAGAAGAATTTTAAGAAGAAGACTCTTCATTAGAGCTCTTTTATAGATAAATTGACGGCAACCACTAAACACTAAGTGCAGGATAAGAAGATTTTTTAAGCAAAACTTTCAGTTGCGTGAGACTTGGTATCGGTCCAGAACAGAGTGATGTTGTTGGAAAACACGGGAAACCATACAGACCAAATTCGGCGATCGTTCTTGGGTGCCAGGGTTACGAGGATGCGTGCAATCAGGTGTGGAAGTATTATGAATAATTCTATTAAGCAGGAGCAAAGAGAAAAAATAGAGGAAAGGGACTGGAGAAAATCAAGTAACGGACTTACTGACCAATTTCATATTTGACAAAGGCTGTTTAGTATCAGCTTAGTTAAAGACAATTTCATGCATTTCAGGAGCATTTTCCGCCGATATCATTACGACCTGATCAACTTTACCAGCATGTTACTATTTATCGATTTTCTTTGGTTGAATGAATACTCAAATATATTTGTACTAATTGAATTAAATAGGACATCATCTTCAATATCGAAGATGTCAAGAATGATAATCGCATCATTTCGGCATTTTATAGTGCAGCCGACATAATAAGCTGAAGCATTCTATCATCAAATGTGTGTACATTAAGTATACTGCAAATGGAAAACGATGCGGTAGCACTGACTGTTCCTGGCAACACACACGTGGCGCTTTGTTCAATTCAGCGTCAGTGATTTACCAAGCCGTACATCCCTCCGGGAGCCGGGAAATTTTGTCAGATTTCTCTGCGAAAGTAGCACTACTGACTTGATGCATCGTCACCATAATAATTCATTGTGTAGGTCAGATTGCATTTATTACCTCAAAGATGCCTGATAAAGTTGAATACGTGAATCCTCCTCTGGGATTGATCAGTGTCGAGATCTTTATCCTCCTGTCCCTTGACGAATAAATTATGAAAAAATATTTCCGGTTTTTTTCCGCAATTTACAAAAACTCATTAGGTTTCTAGCAATTGTGGAAAACCTGTCACTGCACTCTGACTCGAATTCATGAGAATAGCTACACGGACAGTCAACGAGACGAAATCAAAGGCCATCATGACTGGGTGTTCTTGAAAGTCTTTAAATTGTTTATGCTTTATAAAAATACAATTCCACAAACAAAGAAGTGGCACCCATAATTGCAGACCCATATGAATTGCAAAGAAGGTCAATGAACAAGAGCATTAGCTTTGTGAAATGTGACATGAGACTTATATTACATTTCAGGTAGTAGTCAGTATATGAAAACATGGCAGCAATTGCGGTAGTGAAGACGATTCTACTTAGTAGAAAATTCTACGCTACCATAAACTAAACGCATCAAATAGCCCTTCTAAAGTGCAATCGTGTTCATAAAAAGTACCCCTTTTGAGAACAGCAGCAGAATCGGAGTAATTGTGTCAAAGGTGAACTATAGAATCATAGTGACATTGACGATTTTTACTACTCAGAAATCTCGATATTGGGTTGCCAAAAAAATTATTATTGTAGTGGTTATTGTTGCTGAGTGATACTGCGTCGAGAGACGTTTCGACAGTGACACTGGTGCTCATCGACATCTGAATGTCACATTCGTCACTTAATACATGATTTTTTTAAAGACGGATTCTTGTGTTGAGATTGGATAACTGCCTGGAAGATATGAAACTACTGAAACTCTGACTTGATCCCTCTACTACTCGTAGTTTGAACCTTTTCGAGTTACTTCAACATGGCTAATCAAATGAATCTGGAGTTGTTTTCAAGTCATTTGGTGTTTTAAATTGACCTAAATGTCCAGCAGTAGTCTTTGTCACTGCGTAGAACCTTATATGCAGAATACTTTTGGATAAAATTGAAAAAGAAAAGCATTGCGAAGCAATTCTTCAGCGTGTTATACCTCTATGTCTGTCTTTGACTTGGATCTGATATACGCAACCACAAGAATAATGATTAGAGCCGCTACCAGTATCCCAACTATGCATGCCGAGATGGCGTTGAAGGCCGATAATCGTACCTCAGAATCATGCACCTGCAATGATAATTCGAGAAAATCTACTGAGTATTCCTTTACGTATTTGATACAAAATAAGGGCTACTCTGAAAAACATTAGAATGTCATCACGAAAATTCTAGTATGCAGCGTTTTTCTATTCTTCAAAATACGCCATCATTATCCACCACTTTTTGCTATCGTCCGTCAGGTTTCGGATCTGATCGAAGTACGACTCCTTCGGCTCTAAATCAAAGAAGTCATGACATGCTTCTTCAACTTCATCCAAAGATTCAAATCGGCGACCTTCCAAAAAGTGTTGCATTGATCCGAAAAGGCCGTAATCAGATGGAACAACGTCCGGACCATAGAGTGAAGGCGGTAGAATCAAATTCGTCCAATTCCCCAAACTTTGCCCTGGTCTTTCTGGCTGTACGTGCTTTTGCTTTGTCTTGTGGAAACAAGGCGCGCTTTCGACGAACAATTTTAGGTACTTCCCTGGACAATTTCATTCCGCAGAAGATATAGACAAATTATATATCAATAGATGCGCGAAGTAGAATTCTCAATTGATATTAAAATCACACACGATTCGTGCCAAAAAACGACATTGCTATCCAATCAATTTAAATTTCCCTTCCCAGCTTAATATTTAGACGTTTCATTAGGTCTGTTATGGTCCTTCTAAAGTGCTAAACACGTATTTCGGCCTTTCAGCCTCATCAGTACCCTGTGCTCTTCGTTTGAATTTCAAATTTTATGTTGTTCCACACACAGTATCGGTTATTGTAAATTCATTGGAGTATCTCAGAAAAACTCCCACGGCAACGCTAACTATAGTGCATAAAGTTTCAATTTACTCTTCGGATAACAAATAATGACGATGGACAAAATTAAGCCCCGAGATTGACACACTATTGCTAGAAGCGAAACTTTTGAAAAGCGGTGCTGCAAAGGAGTTCTATTTTGCCGACGGCGCAGAAACTGTGAGTCATGAGGCTGTTGTCTGAAGTGGCACAAACGTTTGAAAGTAGTGATCTCAGTCTCGAAGGCCAAGCCCGTTCCGGCCGGCCATTGAATCATCAGATCGCAAAGAAGACTAAGGAAAAGTTTGATGGATTGGAGAAAGTTGAGGTTTTGCTGCACTTAGCTCACAGTTCAGATGCTGCACCGTCCGATTATGGGCCAATTTCCTCTCAGCGGAACATTTCTTGCATAGACGCCGATTCGGGACATTTGATCAAGTTGAAGAGGCATGTCAAGAGTTTTTGATTTGAAGCTCAAGGATTGTTGATTTCGAGAAGAGCCGCAGGCTTGCAAATCGGTGGCAGAAGATCGTGGTTAGTGATGGCCCTTATTTCGAGGAATAATTGTTGTTATTCTTGAGTGAATTTATGTATAAATATGGAATTTAGCGGGTGTTAAGGAACTTTTTCCTCAGTTTAATATTTGAGTTTTTTGTAGAGAAATTTAAGAAATCCAGAAGAGTTCACTGTTTTTGACGACTTGTAATGAGCCCCAAAAAAAAGTCTGATTCTAAGCCCACTGATGCACTGACCTTACGCGGCTGGTCTTCAATTCATAATTGATAGACCCAAATATAAAAAAAAACGGCTCTGACGAAGGCGACCCGCCGAAACGTTAGCCACCTCGAATATTGTGTATTCAAGCTGCATTACTGACTGTATTGTTGTATGCTTCGCTAATATTTAATAAATAACATCAATAACACCACGGAACGGCTAAACAGAAGAAACTATTCATTTATTCAAAGTCTGATTCTTATATCAAATCTGTAAAAAACAA